TAAACGTTGAAAAAAAAATTAATCCATTTATATTCAAAGTAACTATTGATAGATATGTATTTATTGCCATTTTATTACTTGTTTTGTCATTGTTTCTGGAGATCTTCTCTGATCCTTTCTTGTCTTTGTCACTTTTGGTCTCTCCTTTGCACTCAAAGATTTCCCTTTAATATTTCTTATATGGTTGATTTAGTGGTCATTAATTCCTTTAGTTTTGTTTGTCTGCAAAACTCTTTATCTCTACTTCTATTCTGAATGATAGCCTTGCCAGATAGAATATTCCTGGCTGGATATTTTTCCCATTCAGCACGGTGAATGTATCATACCACTCCCTTTTGGACTGACACATTTCTGTTGAGAAATCTCCAGCTAGCCTTTTGGGTTAAGGACTTTTTTTGTCTTGCTGCTTTTAAGATTTTTTTTCTTTATCACTATATTTTGCAAATTTAATCACAATATATCTTGGTGTGGGCATGCTTTTGTTGATCTTGATGGGGGTTTTCTGTTCCCTCTGGATCTGGATGTCTGTTTCCTTCCTCAGATTAGGGAAATTTTCTGCGATTATTTCTTGAAATAAATTTTCTGGCCCCTTTTCTCTCTTCTTCTTCTTCTGGGACTCCTATAATATAAATGTTATTACATTTGTTGGAGTCGCTGAGTTCCCTAAGTCTATTCTCATGTTGTATAATTCTTCTATCTCTCTTTTGTTCAGTTTCATTATTTTTTATTATTTTGTCTTCTAGGTCACTAATTCATTCTTCTACTTCTTCCAGCTTGCTATTCATTACATCAAGCTCATTTCCAATCTCATTTATTGTATTCATTCTTTTTTTAAGTCTTTTATTACTGTAATAAGGGTCTATCTAATGTCTTCTATTCTTTTCTCAAGCCCAGTGAGTATCTTTATGATTGTTGCTTTAAATTCTCCATCAGGCGTGTGTGTGTGTGTGTGTGTGTGTGTGTGTGTGTGTGTGTGTAATATATATATATATATATATATATATGACATATATGTTAGATCTCCGGCTGTGGCCTTATCTTGTTCTTTCATTTGGAATAATTCCTCCATCTTGGCATCTTGTATAAGTCTCTGCCTTTTTCTCTGTTAGAAAAGACAGTTATGTCTCCTGCTCCTGAAAGTAATAGCCTTATGAAAAAGAGGTATGTAGTGTCCGTGGCATGGCACTTCAGTGAATGTCTCTGGTGTGTCCTGTGTGTGATCTATTATTCCATTTTGGCTGCTCTGTCCTTCAGGCCAGTCATCTGGAGAGGCTTTCTTTGCCTGCTGTGGGCAGTACTTGATCCCTGCATGAATGTGCCAAGTTTTAACTAGGTTTGCTCTGATCTGATTGTGAAATGAGATCTGACACCAACTCCACCAGAACTAAGGCCTTGCAGAACTTTCTAGTCAGGAGACATGGTACGGGCAGGGGCATCTGCTAGTCTTCTTAGGGAAGGGCTTGCCACACTGGGACTGAGGCAACCTTTACTGAGAAGGGCAGTCCCTCCAGAGCATGAGGGGTGGGGCTTGGTGTAAACAAGTTAGGCAGCCAGAAATACAGCCTATTTCTTAAAGAAGAGAAAGGATGTGGAGCACCTGGGTGGCTCAGTTGGTTAAGTGTCTGACATCAGCTCAGGTCATGATCTCACAGTTCATGAGTTCAAGCCCCATATTGGGCTCTGGGCTGACAGCTCAGAGCCTGGGCCCTGCTTTGGATTCTGTGTCTCCCTCTCTCTCTGCCCCTCCCCAACTCATGCTCTGTCTCGAAAATAAATAAAAAAGCATTTTTTTTAAAGTATGATTTGAAAGATAGAACCAAGAGCCCAAAAGGTAAAACAAAGGACCTTGGAAAATCATTACCATTGAGCCAAACTGGGCTCTAATCAAGAAAACGACAAATGTACTTGGTTGGATTTTGGAATTGCTATAGGGCTATGACTACTATAGGCTTCCAGTTTTCTCTTTTCTGAATAGAAGCATCCAGTATGATTATCCTCTTTCTCCCATCACTGTGTTTTGGAATGTGTGGGACAGATAATGTGTATCTTTAGTTCACAGCTCTTCTCACAAAGAAAAGTCATACTCAAAAGCTAATATAAAGTACTAAACCCACAAATTCTCACCTATAACTATACTGGACCTTAGATAACAAAATCCTGAACTTCAAGATTACATTCATAATTTCATGAGACTTTGGAGGCCTTTAGAAGGCATGTAGGACAACTGTAAATATTTTGTGGCCATAGGGTAGTCTACAGTAAATTAAAGATGGCCACAAATTCTTTGCTGCTCCTGTCATTGAGAGATGAAGTTTCAGGTTCTTCTGTTGCTCTGAGTAATCTGATTAACTAACAGAATGTGCTCTTTCTGACATTAGGTCATAAGAAGCATTGTACAGTGCTGCCAGGTCCTATGGAGCCCTTAGCTACCAAATTAAAATACCAACTATCCTGGGGCAGCAATGCTGAAGTTATGCATGCACTCTGAATGAGTCTCATCTGAGCTCTGCCTCCCAGGCATCCCACAAAATAATAATATATAATTGAAAACTCTGTGTTTTTAAGCCACTAAGTTTGTTATGCAGCAACACATAATTTTATCTTAACACTTATATAAGTTATTTTTGTGCTGTATTTTTAGTTCTGCATACTAGAATACCCAGTGAGAATACTAGAATATGTGATGGAATATCCTTAAAATAAAATTTTAACAGAAGTGCATATCATAAGTTAAATTACTGGCAGTGACCACATAGTTGACATATATGCACATCCATCAAGAGAAATTAGGAAATTTACTGAATAAAGAAAAACCATAGAAAATTACAATAATGATATGTAACATGTTAAATTGAAATCTTACTAAAAGTGTACATTATTTTTCATCTATCTGTGTTTAGTATATAGTCAATACTTTAAAAATGTGATTTAAAATGACAGCACAAACCACAGAACAAAAAAAAAATGTACTCTCTTGTTACGTCCATCTTGTTAAGAATATTAAGTTATATAAATACATGGATTAATTGCTAACCTGGCATTTCCTCTGTCCTGGAGTCCTGTGTGAATCGAGGAACACTCTGACCAAATGGGGTATTTTTCAGTCCTGGTGTTTTCTTCAAGGAATTGATAGCAGTTCGAGATTCATTATATGTGCCAGGAGCTGGGGTGATTGATTTCATAGGTACAAATCTCTGGTAAAGAACAGGAAAATATGCCAATGAGCAACTATAGTATATTTCAATATTTCATAAATTAAAAGCTGCCATCTTAGTAATATAACGTCTAGAGTTTAATTAATTCTTAAAGGAGTGAAGAAAATATAGATGAATTAAGATCTTGTAACTATTAAAGCATAAAATATATAGCTCTTAGTAAAATCATATATATATTAACATAGTAATGCATTATGTACTTTACTAAGCCAAATAGACTTTTTTGAAGGAAATTATCTCAGCATGAGATTCTAGGTGATAATGTATGGACAATCTTCACATTTATAAGATAAAAAATAAAAATCTATATGATCTAACATGATTTCTTTTAAGTAATAAAATTATACAATTGACAAAATTCCTCAACATATATATTCACTTAACTACACAATATCATTAAATATCTTTTTAATAAATCTCAAATATAAGTGATATATAAATCCAATTTAGCTTATAATTTTAAAATTATTATATTACAAACATAAAAAGTTTATTATAAAGTTATAATATTTAACTTCTTAATAATATGTATCTATATGTATAACTGAACTCTTAAGAAATATAGCATTGTATAATCTTATTTTTTAACACTTTATTTGAAATAAATTTCAAATTTACAGAAAAAAATTGTACGAATAAAAATAAGGCAGAAAATACATGTATGTATGTTTACCCAGATTCACCCTTTGTTAACATGTTATGCCATTTATTTTCATTTGCCCACACTCTCTGTTTCTCTCTCTTTATTTCACTACACCCATTCCTTCCTCTATGTGTCTCCCTGTGTGTCTCTCTATGTGCATGCACACACATACACACACACATGCAGTATATATATATATATAGAACCAGTCAATGGAAAGTTATATATGTCATGGCCCTTTACCCCTAAATACTTTGGTATGTATTTACCACAAATATGGATTTTTTTTACATATCTGAAGTATAATTATCAACTTCAGTATATGTACAATTATATAATACTATTATCTAATCAACTATCAATATTCAAAACTGTCAGTTGATCTAATAATACCTCTAGTACATTTTTCTCCTTCAGTATATAATCTAGTCTAGGTTCAGATATTGCTTTTAGCCTCTTTTAATGTAGGAACATTTCTAAAACCTTCCCTTGTGTTTTGTGACTTTGGAAGAATATAGCACCCCTCTTTTGTATAAAAGAACCTTCCTTAGTTGGGGCTTTTGTGATGCTTCCTCATGATTATATTCAGGTTATACATTTCTGGATAGCATACTAAATAGGTGATGTTGTAGCTTTCTGAGAGTATCATATCCAGAGGTACATGATGTCCTTGAATGCCAATGGTGATTTTAATTTTATAAAATTGAATACTCTCTCTATACTTATCAGTAAGCACTCAGCATTCTACTATAAGCAAGAGCTCTCTCTTCTCCCCCAATTATTCATTTATTTTTATCTATTTACGTATTTACTATCCATGTGGAAATATAAATGTCAGTTAAAACTATTGCGATTCACTACTGTGTTGTTGTTTTTTGTTTTGTTTTGTTTTGTTTTGTTTGTTTTTTTAACCAGTAGGGAGCCATTAAAGTTGGCTCACACATCCTTATGATAAGTCGTCATCTTTTTTTTTGAGACTTTTTTTAAATTTCATGACATAAGAAGATGTTACAGGTTCATCTTCTACCTACTTTGCACAATCCCTGCTTCTTGGCTTATTTAACAGACAAAGCTAGAATATATATCTATATATCTATCTATACCTATTTCTATATCTATACACACACACATATATATCAGGGATACATATACCCATATACATATATGTGCATATATATGCACATACATATACATATATATGTATTACAAATCATGAGTTCACATTAAACCTTCAATTAAAATCTGTCCTTTCTCACCTCCCCCAATCCATATTTGTATGTACCTTCTTCCAACTGAAAACCCTGGTTCACGATATTGACTTTTCTGCTCAACTCTGTAATACAACAAGTTTCATGACTGCTTCACCCAAAGGTGTATATTTGAATTGAAACCATACATTAAATTTTTTCTATTAAATTTATATATGTGAAAGTTCAGTTTAGTCTGAATTTTAAAAAATATTTTTCCGGGGCGCCTGGGTGAGTCAGTCTGTGAAGCGTCCAACTCTTTTGATTTCAGCTCAGCTCATGATCTGGGTTCTTGAGTGCAAGGCCCGCATCAGGCTCTGCACTGACAGCATGAAGCCTGCTTAGGATTCTCTCCCTCCTCCCTCTCTCTCTGCCCCTACCCTGCTCACACTCTCAAAATAAATAAACTTTAAAAAATTGAAAAATTAAAAAATAAATAAATAAATAAATAAATAATACTTTGCCAATGAATATGTGGAGTGTTAAAATGTAATCTTTGAGGACACACATATCTTTCAGAGAAGGTTCTGAAGGCTCTCTGTGGAGGGTGGGGATAGATCATATCTACCACTGCCACTAGGGTCTTTATTTGTGATGCAAGAGTGTATTTCACAGTAATCATATCACATTCTCTAGGGTATGCACTAAGGCAACTTGAAGATATCTAATATATTTCTATGGCAATTTAATACTATCAAACTTTTATAATGTGGCAGCTTCCAGATCAAAGTAGTTGTAATAATTATCCAACTGCATTATGTACAGCTCTATTTATTTTCTCTTAACTCAGGAATGTTATTAACCTTCAGATGACTACAGGTTACTACTTTGGAACTTAAGAGGCATCTCCTTAGAGACAATTAGATGGATTGCAGGTACATTTTGGAGACATAATTAACACAACTTTTTAATAAATTACAACTTTTTAATAAATTTTAATAAATTACAACTTTCTAATAAATTAATGTTGTGGTGAGGGGCAAGGAAGAACCAAGAATGAATACCAGATTTCTCCTTTCAGCAACTTGATAGCACTTAAGGTACTACACAAAATGATTGTGTAAGAACAGGATACTTTGTGTGTGGGTGTGTGTGTGTGTACCTTTGATTTTTTTTAATATCATTATTACAACTAGATTCTCAGTTCTTATGCTATTTCTGTTCCTCTAATATGTAGTCCTGATTTGATATCACTTGGCACCAATTATAATACTTTAAATATATTTTCAGAAATGGAAAAGAATATGATATGTTTTGTTTAAGGGGATGATGAAGAAAGCAATAATCATTCCGGGGTGAAAGATATGGAAGAATTAAAACCAACAGGAATGACTGCTAGAGGTAGTGTTAGTGTTTAGTTAACTATGAATAGGTACATTAATGACTGATAGGAAAAGCAATAATGCAATTAACAAGGTACATTTAAAACACAAAATTTTTTATTTATAAAAATAAAAATGGATTATATATCTGAGATATCAGGGTTTTTTTGGCCATTTGTCTACTTTATTTATTTGTTTCAAGTTTTAATTTAATCTAATTAGTTAACATACCATGTAACATTGGTTTCAGGAGTAGAATTTATTGATTCATCACCTATAACACCCAGTGCTCATCACAGCAAGTGCTCTCCTTAATATCCATTACCCATCTAGTACATCCTCCACCCACCTCCCTTCTACCAACCCTCAGTTTGTTCTCTATAGTTAAGAGTCTCTTATGGTTTGCCTTCCTCTCTCTCTTCTTTTTTCCCACTTCCCCAATGTTTATTTCTTTTCCTTCTTACATTCCACATGAGTGCAATCACATGGCATTTGACTTTCTCTGACTGACTTGTTTTGCTTAGCATAATACACTCTAGCTCCATCCACATCATTGCAAATGGCAAGATTTTATTTTCTTTTTTTTATGTTTCATTTATTTTTGAGAGAGAGATAGAGACAGACAGACAGACAGAGTGCAAGCAGAGGAGGGGCAGAGAGAGGGAGTCACAGAATCCTAAGTGGGCTCCAGGTTCTGAGCCGTCTGCACAGAGCCCGACATGGGGCTGGAGCTCATGAACCGCGAGATCATGACCTGAGCTGACGTAGGACACCCAACCAACTGATCCACTCAGGCGCCTCAAGATTTCACTTTCGTGATGGCTGAGTAATATTCCATTGTGTGTATGTGTGTATGTATGCGGGTGTGTGTGTGTGTCTGTGTGTGTGTGTGTGTATTCTTTATTCATCAGTCAATGCAAATTTGGGATCTTTCCATAATGTGGCTATTAATTCTGCTATAAACATCAGGGTGTATGCACCTTTCGAATCAGTTCTTTTGTATCATTTGGGTAAATACCAAGAAGTGCAACTGCTGGATCATAGGGTAGTTCTATTTGGAGGAACCTCCATATCATTTTCCAGAGTGGCTATACCAGTTTGCATTGCCATCGACAGTGTAAGAGGGCTTCCCTTTTTCCACATCCTCAACATCTATTGTTTCCTGTGTTGTTAGTATTAGCCATTAAGACAGGTGTGAGGTGATATCTCAAAGTTTTGTATTTCCTCGATGATGAGTGATGTTGAGTATTTTTTCATGTGTCTGTTAACTATCCATATGTCTTCTTAGGGAAAAAATGTCTATTCATTTCTGACCATTTCTTAAATAAATTATTTATTTTTGGAGTGTTGAGTTTGAGAAATTTTTTTATAGATTTTGGATACTAACCCTTTATCTGATATGTCACTTGCAAATATCTTCTCCCATTCTCTAGGTTGCCTTTTACTTTTCTTGATTGTTTCCTTCACTGCAGAAAGTTTTATCTTGATGAAGTCCCAATAGTTCATTTTTTTATTTTGTTTCCCTTATCTCCCTTATCTCCAGGTCAGAGCTTGAAACCTATGTTCTCCTACAGGATTTTGGTGGTTTCTTGTTTCATATATAGGTCTTTTATCTGTTTTGAATTTATTTCTTTAATATGAAATTTATTGTCAAATTGGTTTCCATACAACACCTAGTGCTCATCCCAACAGGTGCCCTCCTCAATAGCCTTCACCCACCCTCCCCTCCCTC